GCTTCTGCACCAGAGAGCTGCTGTGGCTTCCTCCCTTGCTGTGCCATTGATCCTTCAGGCAGATTTCATCCCTAACTGCATCTGGAGGAATTATATGGGTCTTTGCCTTCCTCTTGCAGATATCAGGGAAGTTATGATTCAGAAATAACAGTGTCAGGATCATGACGGGCAAAACTAGGGAGAGAGGTTGTTTATAAATGGAGATAGACCTTGGTTCCATCACTATGTTATTTATTTCCCTAGCAGATCACTGAGACTAACAAGGTGCATTTGTATTCTGTGAAAGGGTTTGTTTTAAAGAAAAAATTCCCTAGTCTAGGTTGTTCTTCACAGACTCTTGATTTTCAACCTTCTTACTTACTCACTTTCAAGGATGCTGCTATTTCACATCAATAACTGACACCTTTATTTCAGAGAATAAAATAGAATTACATTCCAGTACTGACAATATAATAAATCAGGAGGGATAAAATACTTATTAGTGAAGTTCACATAGTTGATTTGTCCCATCTGACCTATAGATAAAAAAGTATGGGTAAAAATTTTTTGGGCTGCTCCTTCTTGCCAGAAGATTTAGCTCCAACTCAAAGATTTGACCTTTGCTGCTCCTCTCTGCTTACCTTGATTCTTTTAAATTATTGTTATTCCCTTGAAGCCATTCTGCTCATACAGAATTAACACTGTGTTGAGACAAAATATTATCTATTTGGCTGAAGAATGAAACCATCTAGAATTTAGTCAGGTTAGACAAAGTCATGGTGTCCATCCTGGGTGAATCATTTCTACCTAGCTTTTTTAATCAAAGAAATCTCAGCCATATAACTAGGAATTCTCACATTGGATGGTCACACAGCTGTCTACAATTAGAGTTTAAGCACATCATTTGTTTTTTATGAACTATGGTTGAAAAACATGCTTGCCAGAGCACTTAATCTTTCAGATGTATAACAAAAACAAACTCCATGTCGTTTACCATATTGGTAAAAACAATCATAAATAAAGGAAGCATGAAAAATGTGCACTGAATACTACTAAGAAAAACAATTTGTAGTATTTCTGTTTTCCTCACTGCAAATGAGATTTCTAGATTAAGCAATTTTACTGAATTCAGTGGGGCTATCCAGATTTATTGTAGCTGAACGTATAACCAAACCAGCTGTTTTGGAAGAAGCGATTTCTGAAAGATGTGAATTTTTCACAATGTAAAAATAGGATGCTTGTTGCTTTTTTTTGTTGCTTCTATTCTTTTCAATGCTATGTATCTTATTTTTGTAAGGTAGTTCTTAAGTTACTTATGTGTCTACTAGTTTCATCATCACTAAACCTTCTTGAACCTCCTTGAAATTAAAGCTGGATAAGTTCCACACAATTTTCTCCTAGCCTTTCCATTTATATTATCTACTAGAAAAATTGAAGCTAATGTAATAGTGTTAAATTGTGATGCATTTTTCCTCTGATGAGGGCTGGGCTAATGTAATCAGCAATTATTTTTTGTGTGACCTTTACAAATCAAATTACTATTTTCTTGCTTTATATTTCTATTTCTATTTTGCTACCAGTGGTGCAAGATTGCTGCAGTTAGTATAAAATATAATTTATAGATAAAATCACATTATAATAGGGTGCACTGTTCTCAAAAATGTACATACTGCATGGACTTTTTAGTGAAATAATTTAAAGAAATGTGTAAGCTGGACAAGTCTAAATTTATGCTGTTAATTCACAGGGAAATTTCCAGGATCACCACAAAGATGTCCTGGAGCAGCTGCCAAGTAGTTCAAGTGGAGGCAGGAAAAAACTTTGTGTAGGGTAAATCCTGTTGTAGTAATGGAATTACAGTAGAGAGATGCCATAGCATTAGGGATCCAGACTGGTGACTGAAGAGAGTCCTTCTACCAATTACACCTGATTTACACCCACTGGTTGAATAAAGAACATAGAGTTCAATACCTTCCTAAGGTATGCAGTTGTGAGAATTCTTTCAGCCAAATGAGGGAGATATGAAACACAGAAACTAGCAGTTCATGTCATTGCAAAATATGTGCCTGCATAAAACCACCACAGTTTTTGGTACAAAAGCTGCTGCTCTTGCTATATCTGGCAAACTAGAACATTGATTTTCTGAATCTGGATAATACTTTGGTTTTATAATTAGCGATAGGGTCTTTTTAGCTCAGGAAAATGTATTTCTGAGCACTATGTGGGCTACTGTATCCTGTACTTACATTTGCACTGCAGTTATAGGCCTTTGTTCGTTGATGATTTTTGAAGACAAAGACAGTAGGCACATTTGAGCTAGTAAGATCGACTTTCTGTTTGGACCTGAATTAGGAATGACTGCTTTTCACTTATCTGGCTCTTCTTAACTCTCAGGTTCTTTACTAATATGAACTAATACAATGGAAGAAAAAGCAATTGTTGGTCTAAAATACTACTGCCACCAAGAACCTGCGTATTGAAGGAAATACTTAGGTTCACCATTCTCCTAAGAAAAGTTTTAAGTAGAAGACATGGTTTTCTTAGGGATCACACCTATAGCATTTAAAAACAAGAAGCTATTATTAGAAATAAATAATTAAAGTAAATTTTCCTTGTTCTCTGATTTTTTCTGACTGTCCCAGTCTTATTTTATCTACTTGTTTTACTTAAAGAAGTCACAGATCTCTGCATAGGCTGAAAATAGATACTCTTTGCAAAAATGACAAGTTTGTGTTTTGCATTACCGAGTTCTGGTTAGTTGTTAATTTATGAAACCCCACCACAGATGGCCTCTTGCTAAATTTTAAAGCACTTCCACATTTCAAAACCAGGCTACCTTTCAGCAAGTCACTTTTGTCAAAGCCTTGGAGTTCCTTCAAGACATTTGTCAGTGTGTATTATGAGAATGTAAAAATGGTGAATACTCTGGTCTGTTCTGTACTATATATTTGAATCTCTGGAATTTATTTAAATGAAGTGAATAAGGATATATTTTTTCTGACTAGGATATAAGTTACAGCAGGTCTGTTTCTAGACAGCAGAAGTAAGTGTGCCTTAGATAGTGATTCAGAGTTGTGGTGTTCTTCTTCTTTAAATGACTAATCTGGAGGTTGGATGTCTTTTGAAAACTTAAACCTGTTTCACCTGAACATGTTTAACTAGTTAATAAGAAACATCAAAAAAGACAAAACCCTGAGGTCAATGATCATTTTTTGTAAAGCCATTCGATGATGTTTAAATTTGTTTTTTGGGTCTGTCTATAACATAAGTTTAATAACCTAGCTCAAATGCAGATTTCTAATTTTCAATTAACATAGGAATAATTTTGTTTGCTAAAATAAAATAAATGAATGAATGAAAAGTCTGAACCATGAAATGTTCTAGGTAGCACTTTTTAAAATTCCAAATTTCAAAAAATCATGTGGCAACTGTATAGCTCAAGCTTTAAGTATTAACTTTTAACCTTTGACCTTACAGATTTTAACCAATGAAATGTCTTTTTAAACTTTAAAGGAAACAATGATAACGAGCGCCTGGCGATTGCTAGACAGCGAATTCCATATCGACTTGGTCGAGTAGTTGATGAATGGCTACTCGACAAAGGTAAAAAACATTGATTAAAACTTCAAATAAAAAAATAATTTGAACATAACCAAGTAGTACTTCATTGTAACACTAATAAACATAAAAAATAAATTGCAGTAAAACTAAATTTAAAACAAATTTTAAAAAGTAAAATATAGAGTAATATTTGCATACCTTGTATAATAATTTATATACATTTCTAGAAGTACCAGCTGTTTAATAATCTTACCCTGTTAACTTAAGGTTAAAGGGACTGTTAAATATAATCCACTAACTCAATCTATGAAGGTACTCATAGCAAACATTAACCGAAAATTATAAATCATTCATAGATTATATCACGTTCCAGCATCTAAATTATTAACTAAAAATCTATGTAGCAATATCTTCGTTATGGTCCTGAAAAAAAAAAAAATTGTTTAAACTGTAGGTATCTTAAATAGTGGGCAATATGAATTGCCAATCAAAATGAAGTCCCTTTAACGTTTGCAACCTTTTAAGGGGATTTTGGAACAAACACTAATTAAAACAGAACTTAAAGTTGTGTGCATGCTTATTGTGAGCAGAAACCAATCTGCTAAAGTGACTATTCTATTTACTGAGAGTAGTACTATTGATGAGGATTTCTCTGTTTAATGGAAATGTGCCATGATTTCTCCATTGGTATGTGTATCATTTCTGAAGCCGCTTTTACATCTAAAATATTTTATTTAAATTTATAGCCTTGCTGAAAGCCAATCAGACATCTATTTTTGAATCTGCCTCTGAGATACTCAGTGTGAACCATGTGTTTCTTTTCATTGTGGATCTTGAAGGAAAATAAACATTGAAATACAAAAAGGAAACATTAATTTAAAATGAAAATATTTTATTCACTTATATAGAGATATGACAGATTACTGTATAACATTCTTCAAAATTCACTGGACCAAGTGACTTGTTGGCACATATATAAACTCTCTGTGTGTATATACATATTTGTTATGTCTATACATACATAAATTCACACTTAAAGCTATAGACTCTGTGCTGTATTGTGTATGGAAAAAAACTTTGAAATGGTGGCAGACTTGAAGAAAAAATAATCTTAAGGAACTGGACACCTGGCATTCTTGACACACATGACATAGCTTAACACTGAGCAAGGGATATGATTTGTAGAACTAAACACATTTGCAAATATATTTGATTGGCCTTTTAGCAAAAAAAAAAAAAAAAAATAAACGCCAAAATGGTGTAAATTAAGAAAAAATCAAATGCTCTCAAAATTTATGCATTTCATGGACACTTCATTAAAAAGCAATGAATTATGAGTCAAATCTGTTTCTTATAGTTTATTGCTCTCATTATTCACCCCATGAAAATCTGTTATCACTCATGTAGAGTACAGTGTTCACAGTCAACATTTTTGCATGTATATAATATTATCTTCACAGGGCGTCAGCTCACGATCTTCAATAGCCAAGCAACCATTAAAATTGGAGGCAAAGATCGTGGCCATCCTTTCCAAGGCCAGCTCTCTGGTCTTTACTACAATGGCTTGAAAGTTCTGAATATGGCAGCAGAAAATGATGCCAACATCGTGATAGAAGGAAATGTGAGGCTTGTTGGTGAAGTGCCTTCCTCTATGACAACTGAGTCCACAGCCACAGCGATGCAGTCTGAGATGTCCACGTCAGTCATGGAAACAACCACCACTTTGGCCACAAGCACTGCTAGAAGAGGAAAGACCCCAACAAAAGAACCTATTGGTCAGGTTAGTGGGCTTCCTCACCTTCTGCGAGTATTTTCCCATATTTGAGTGCCTTCCTATATAGCAGTCTGCAGATGAAATTGTTCCTGTTGAGAAATGCATGAATTACAGACAAAAGTTCTGTACTCCATGGTCACTGCTGAAATGTTGATCAGCATTTAGAGGGAAAGTAAGGATTTGCGGTTCTTCTAAATTAGGCAAACTTACCACTTCAGGTTTTTCTTGTGCTGAGTTTTATTGCCTTGTCACCCATCTGCATAGTGGTGCATATTTTAAAATACTCCTTCTTCATTTGATGACTTGTATCAATTATTTTCAGTGTAGGAATGCAGGATGTCTGGAATTGGTGATGACGTTGAGTGGTGACTTTATCCCAGAGGTAGACAAAAGACATCCAGTTTTGAAGAGGTAACAGGAAGGAGGTATGAAGACAAAAAGTTGGAAGAAGCTGGAAAAGAAGGCATTAGCAGTTTCTCTAGTCCCATAACTGATGATAATCTTGGGTGGAATTCCTCCTAAGAGGCAATGGCAGCAGAGGCAACTACAAGCACTCTGCACATTGGGTGGCTCAGACTCCAAGTCAGAGGCTGTTTTTTACTGTTTGTTGACATTATTTGCATCTAATGAATCTATTGATATATTCAGTAGCTTGCAGGTTTTGTCAGGATCTCTGTATAATATGTGGGGAAATTAAATTATTGGGAAAAGGAGGGGTGAAAACAGGTGAGTGAATTAAGTACCTTCATCTTATGGATACCCTGAGTAAGAGCATTCAGACTTTGTCCTTTAAAAACCTAAAACTTACCACGACATTTGTATGGCTGAGAAGATTCTTTTATATTTATTCTGCCTAAAAAAACACCCAACAAAACAAACAGGAAAAAAATGATAGACTGCTACAAGTTTTTCCTATGTTCACATGGTTCTCATGCTTGCTTGTGTAGCCACTGTACCATCAAGCTATGACATCTATGCTCTGAGATCCAGAAGTAGAACAAGGGCCAAAGAAGTGTCACAAGCTATAGGGAGGAACAGGAGCACAACATGATGAATGAGGTTAAATTTCTCAAGAATGGAGGAGAACAGGCTGGGAGGCTTGTTGCCTGATTTTGGTGTAAAACCTCAACCCTCAATTTAACTTTGATTAGGGCATAAAACATGACATTTCAGCTTTTCTGTCTGTAATATTTTGGTACATTTTACACTATGGACTGAAAACTACAGTAATGTAAAAGTAAAAACTACTCTTTCATAAACAGAAGAACAGGAGCAGAACATACTGTTTTTTGTGAATTTTCCTTGTTTCTTTAAAGTGCATGAAAATCCAAAGAGGAATAAAAAAATGGGGGAGGGAGCAACTAAAACCCAACTAGAGATACATGGAACCAGCTGCCTCCAAAAAATGGCATCCATTGTAGATAACAGGTTGTAGTTCTTTCAATTATTATTGTTGCAAGCTACAGCATTTTTATTAAATGGGCAATTAATAACAACTTATGTGTTATTAACTCTGTTTTAGATAGTATTTCCCACTTCATTATCCAACTAGTCTGACCTTGATATTTTAAAGCAATGATATGTAAGACTTCTTTAAATTTGCACAAAGATGCACCTAAAAAGTGCAGGATATCCTCACAGTGTGGAAGAATTTGGGCTAAATAAATGCTACTAAATTAAAATTTTTAAGCTAAACTGTTCTAACAGTTCTGAGAAAGCTTTTGGCCTCTGCCAGTCCCTCAGGTAACTCTGAGGCATAGTTTGGGAAAAAGAATATTGCAGACAATTCCCAGTTGGCACCTTGTATGATCTGTTGGCAATGAGAGTTTATTGGTATGGTTACTTTGCCAGCTGTCCTTAGTTTCCAGGAATATTTCTCAGTAGGATTTACTGAGTAAGGTTTGTTTGGGTGTCTATGTATTGAGATTATTATTATTATTACTATTATTATGGTCTCAATCAGCCTCTCTCACCTAGCTGGTGCAAATCCTTGATGCAGCCCATTTGAAAACACTTGGTAGGGATATTTCTGTATCTAAGAGCCTGAAATCAACATTTCTGAGGAAAGTGTGCAGTGTTAATGCCATTACAGCACATGGCACCTGAGCCCTTCCTGCCATTAATAATACGCAGTAGCTTACTTCAGCTATGGCTAAACATTCTGCCTGGTAGGATCTGTGTTGTCTTTACGACTGTGCGCTTAATTAGTCAGAGACTGCACTGAAACACAGTTTGCAATCAGGCCTGTGATTTGATTTGAACAGATTGATAACATCCCAAAGTCAAAACTGAAAGTCGTCTGCAAGATGCTTTGTTATTCATGCAACAAACAGACCTAGGAAGCTATTAAATCAAATTGAGCACATAATTTCATCTCTTAATTAGTACCTATTTTCTTATTCTACTTGCACGTAATATTTTCTGTGGTAGTGACCCATAGGACTCCCACAGGTCTGTCCTGCAGGGTGCTGAATAATAATTTTCTGTCTTGATGACACTGGGAGATGAAGGCACTAACTATCTCATGGAAAACCTTTTCATTTCTGCATTACCTTCCATTTTTGTCCTTTACATTTTTTTCTGATTTTTATTTACATATAACCTCTACACGTAGTGTCAACTACATTGACATACTGTAATGCACAAGAAGAAAAGTTACCTTTCTAGCATTAATTAGGTTACTGAAGAAAATACACAGCAGAACAGCAATTGCTAATGAAAAAAACCTCAGATTATTGCAAACCAATGCATGTCTGAAATAGAGGCAAATGATCTAATCAGTTAGAGATTGTTTACTCCATTAGCAGAGGTATTGAATTCAATTAAAGACTACAATACTTAAAGAAGATCATTTAAATCTCTATTTGTAGGAAATGTTCTTTAAAAAACCTGCAATGTTAGTGCTTAAATTGATGGAATGTGTGCTTCTCAGCAGATACCTAGCTAATGCAGTATATGATACAAGATAGACATGATACTTCCAGAAAGTATCTTGAATACTGCTGTGCATGATTTTAGACAAATGAGGTCTTAGTACTTCTGAAGAAAAAAGATGCTTTTTGATAGTGACTCTGCTGTAAATGAAGGTTTTTCACTACTTGAAGGCTGTGTCATATTTTAACAGTGGATGTTTTGGTGATGATCGACACCTTAATTGTTATACTTGGAAATGTAGATTTTTCAAAGGGGAGAAAGGTACTCAAAGCCTATTGAATGTCAATAGTAGATGAATGCCTCATTTTTCTTAGTGCCTTAAAAATCTCACCCCCCACCCCCTGCTTTGATTATAATGGCATCTAGAGCTGTCAGCCTTCATGCAAGGCACTGCATAAACACATAGGAAGTGACAGCCCCTGCCTCAAATAGCTTACCAAATAAACAAAAGGGATCAGGTCAGGAGGGGAAAAAAGAAAAGGAAATTGGAAGGTGGGAGGAAGAGGAAACTAAAGAAAGCACTGTGCCATTTCATTGTTAACTACCTACATGGGGATTTGCAGCCGTTGTGGGAGGGATAGTTCACTGCCTGTTTTTTGGTCCAGGCTCTTTAGATAGCAGCCGCTGAGCTGCACTTGACCTGCAGAATCACCATGTAGCTTATGGTAGACTCTGGAGCAGGCAATTTAAGGACCAGGCAGCCCAGTTTGTCCTAGTTGGGAAGCTGGTGCAAAATCACCACCACTTGGGTGGTCGATGAGAGGTTTTCTCTGCTTTGCTCCTCACTTTGCCATTGATGTGTGGGAGAATGCATGGCCACTGGCTCGGGAGCTGAGTGCGGGAGAGATCCTTTGCTCCCCCTACACTGGATGAAAGGAGGGTCAAAATTTTGCATACAGTTAAGAGCACAGAAAGAAATCCCAAAATGTTACCAGAACAAGACTTCTGCTAAGTGAAAAAATGCATTTATGTGTTGCTAACTTTTGGTGAGCCGCAAGTATGCGCTAGGGCTCAGAAATCATTCATTTGGTCGAAGAATATCATCCCTGTTAAGTTATTCCGTAAAATGATGTGGCTATGTTCTTTCTTCTTTTTCTCTTTTATTTTTGACACTTTAAAAAAGTCTCAATTGCACATTTGTGTTGTTTTGGGTTTTTTTTATTATATCATGAAGCTGATGCACTTCTTTTAAAACTGAAAATAAAAGAGATTCACATATTGCAACACCTCCAGGAGCTGGAATGTTAAGCAAAACATAAAGTACTGCAATGCTTGCAATAAAAATTGCAGGGGTTGGCAGAAGCAGATAGGCTTCAAAAGTATGAAAATGTCAAAATACTTTTGAGCATGAGTTTTGCCTGAATTAGGATAGCACAATCAGGCCTTTAGTATCACTTTGGCATAGTTTTGTGGATCTGTATTAACTGGCAATCGTAAATGAAGTGATAGTAAATCAAGAATTATATGCTGGTTTCTCATCCATTTCAAAGGATTTGATTATGACAGCCCATCCACAGAGCAGCCTCTGTTCTCATGCATTGGAAATCGCTTCTGAAAGTTGTGTGCAAAATAGCTTTTTTATTTTTCATAAGCGATTCTCACGGTCATTTTTTTTCTCATCAGAGTGGGCTCTTATCAATAACACTGAGCCATTTAGCCAGCAATTGCAATAGACCATGAGATGATTGCATGTTTTGGAATAATAGGCACTGATTTTTGGTCAAGCAGAAATAAACTAACTTAATATTAAATTGATGTGATGAAATTTGGTCAGTTGCCTTGAGAGGCATACATCAGGTGAAGGATATGTTTCTTTATGTGTATTGAAGCAGTGGATTTAAATGGTGTTCATTGTAATAGGGACAATAACAGGCTGGGCTCAGCATCTTCACCTGTCAAATAAAAACAAACATTTGAAAAAGACAGGGGTATTTTCTATGGAAGGAGTTCAATTTTTAAAATGGTAGTTTAGTATGGCCTTTACACAGGATAGTAAATGTGAATGTATTCTATGGAGACACATTAATCATTGAATTAATGTAGGTAACAGGAGGAAGATTATTTTCC